TAAGCACAATTGAAAAAAGATGGGTTTTTAAAAAACTGTGATGTACTGTTGTGGACACCTGTTGCTTATTTTGCTCAATAATTTTTCCTATTTAAGTCCCCTTGCCATTCAGCCATGTGTTAATGAAAATGACACGAAAACCCCAATTTTCAAAGCATGAAATTGCAGTTCTTTTGGAGGAGGTGGAAAATAATAAAATCCAGCTATTTTCAAAGCTGAAAAACAGCATTACAAATGCTGACAAAAAGAAAATCTGGGCAGAAATCACTCAAAAAATAAATGCTGCTGGCTATGGGTACGAACGAAGCCCAGAAGAAGTCAGGAATAAGTGGAGGGACTTCGCAAGTGTGACAAAACGGAGGGCTGCGGCATGTAAGAGGGAAGCAAACAAGACTGGTGGGGGTATCAATTCAGTTCCTCCTCTCACTACAGAGGAAGAGAAAGTTTTGGCCATCCTGGGGTTGGAAGGGATGGAAGGGATCCTTGGAGGTATAGATGCATGTGCATCAACCAGGCCTTTGCCTTCAAAGTCAACATCAGGAAATATCTAAATTGATAAATACCAGATTGGAGATTAAAATAATAGCAGATTTGCCTCATTTTAAATGAATACTAAAAACTGAGATGAAAAATTTACTTAAGCCAGAAATGTACTGTAAAATAAATGTTCAGCGATATCTTCAAAAGATTTTTGAATTTTGGCACAGTTTTTTCTCTATATAGTGTTGATATGGCAACTAGTAAATACCATAAATTTTGTTATGCTGGCATGTGTGGAAATACTAACCCCGCGTTACGGGCCAAGATCCTTGAACTACTACAGGTTGTGAAACCACATCTTCAGAGGGGAACAAGAAGAAACAACGCCTTAAGTTCACCGGTACAGTTGTTAGCTACACTGCATTATTATGCTGTTGGAAGTTTTATAGAGGTGGTGGGTGATGGCCAGGGGCTCAGCAAATCTTCAGTCAGCAAAACTGTGACAGCAGTAACACCTTTGCTGTTACAGCTTATGAAGAACATCCTGATTTTCCCCCAAACTCCTGAAGAAATCCAGCTGGCCAATCAACAGTTCTACAGTATTGACAACATCCCCAGAGTGATTGGCATCATCGATGGCACCCTTATCCCCGTGTCAAGCCCTGAGGTAAATGAGCCCTTGTACATTTGCAGGAAGGGCTTTCCAGCCATTAATGTTCAAATAGTGTGTGATCACCAGGGGATGTTCACTGACATTGTGGCAAAATGGCCTGGGAGCACACATGACTCTTTTGTGTGGGCCAATTCTGCAGTTTGCCAGGTGGCTGAAGAGGGTGGCCTTGGTGATAGCTGGCTGCTGGGAGACAGTGGATATCCTGCCCATACCTCCTGACACCTGTGCAGCATCCAGCCACCATTGCAGTTTAAACCATTTGTTTAATCTGACATAACTTCTGTTAAATATTTTGTTTGTTTGCCAATATGCCCCCCATGTGTGTTTCAAACTGAATTTGTAATAAAAAAAAAATATTTAAAGGCGAATTAGGTAAGGTCTAAGCACCACAACTTTAACTCTTCCAAATCACTCGAAGTGGATGGTGAAATCTTCGAAAGGAATAACATTGTCACTTGCACACAGCAATTTCTGTAATATTTTATTTATTTACTTTTTTACCTCTATTGCTGCTATGTAACTACCCTGTACAACCTGTTTGCACGTTTTCTCTTGTACATTCCTGCTCATCTAAATATTTATTAAGTCTACAGTATACTGTCCTGTGCATTTTATTTTTATTCTTATTTTTTTATCGTACTTTTTCCATACCTATATTTATATATAATTTTATTGTGTTTGTATTCTTTAATAATTGCACTGTCCATGGAGCGGACCTGACTTACATTTCACTGCTGGTCATATATTCTCTATATAACCATGTATGTGACAAATAGAAAATCTTGAATCTTGAATCTTGAATCTTATTATGCTTCATTTTTGGCTTTATGGTCACCATTAATGATATAGATCCTGACTGAAAAATGACATAAAAATGTACATATGCCCCTCAGACTGAAGCATTAAAAGTAACAATTAGGCCTACAACAATATATCTCCAGTGTACATGCTGTGTATTCACTTAGCTTAACTAAATGGAAAATGAATGCAGTGTGGGTAGATTTATAAGACTAATTAAAACTTATATATCAACTATTGATAAAATAATGACTGTACAACAAGTTGTAGGCCTACATAATGTTATTAAAGGGATAGTTTACATAAAATGAAAGCTTACTGACCAATAACTCACCTTCGAAGAATTTTTCTTCTGTTGAACATTAAAAAAGTGATTTAGAAGAATGTTGGTAACTGGTAGCCATTGACTTCCATCGTAGGGAAAAAATACTGTGGAAGTTAATGGCTACCAGTTACCAGCTTCTTCAAAATATCTTTTTTTATGTTCAACAGAAGAAAGGAACTCATAAATGTCAACTAAACAAAAATTTGGGTCAACTATTGCTTTAACATTTAGAATGGAATAGAGAGTGAAGAAACTATTTATTTGAATGGAGAAAACTGCTGAAAAAATGCCACACACAATTTTATCAATCCATAAAAACTTTTTGCATGTTTACATTTGCATGTTTACATTCCACATTTTGTATCACACTCCAGTATACTTTATTTACCTTTAAAAATAACAGAAACAGTGACTCCAACATTTTTTTCAAATATTGCCTTTCAAGTTCAATGATTCAAAGTTAAATGATTCAATATTTTTTATTTCATCTTTGTATTTGAAAATGAAGAGATCCCAGCTGTAACTGTAGTGCAGCCTCAAATAAGCCTTACTCAGCAGTTTCCCATGCTCTTGACCATATTACAGATTTGAAGATGAAGTTTCAGGTGTGTTGTGCAGAAATTGCTAATGTTTTGGCAAATTAGTGTTACAGACTCTTTCTTTTTTAACATTTTAATGTGATTTTAACTGTAACATGGCAACAGTCTGTTGAACATTAAGTTGATGCTTTCAGTAGTCACATACATTGAACAAAGTTCAAATGAAAAACAAGTGGACAAAAATTAAGACCTGAACAAACTAAAAAATTAATCCATTATGTCGGTGTAAACCATGACTAATTGCTCTTTTTTTGTCTCAACTGTTCTAGTCTAGATTTAAACTAGTTCAGGCAACACCAAAACCTGGGCTCTGCACAGTTCCTTCTGTCATGTGTTTTTTGAACATTTCATACTTTCAGTAGTCAACGACATTGAACAAAGTTTAAATGAAAAACAAGTGGACAAAAATGAA